TGCATGCACTGCTGATTCTGGGAGATGAAAACAACCTGAGGACAAGGACAAGGACGTAAGGATATTAGCTAGGTGCTTAGCCACGTACAAGGCAGGAATAATTCCTGTTTAAGGGGTCACCTCTCCCCTTTTTCTTGAGGCACTGTAAAAACGAAATTAGGTGTGACTTCAACAAGCTGTTGGAAGAGGTTTGTTAACAGCCTGGGAATATCTCTGTTTTCCTTCAGTAATTGATAGGATATCATCATACCCAGGAAATTAATCTTGAGTGCTTCTAGTATCTGTAGCATGTCTGCCTCTTCTATACAAATGCTATTTCATTTGGAACATTGTCTTTCCTAAGCCTCAGGCATGTTGCTGATTTCTTCCCTGATAAACATCTGAGTGAAATATCCACTGAATTTGTCAGACATTTTCGTCTCATTGTTGAGACATTTCCTGTTGTTATCCCAGAGATATTCTATTTCATCCTCCACCGAGTAAGATAAAAACACACAATAATCACCTGCTGAAGACTGGGTCAGGGTTGAAGCTTGTGAATTTTTCTTTGTGTGGGACACCAGGTCCAAGTTGGGAGTTGATGTTGAATAGACTCTGATTAATGTAGTTCATTTTCAGAAGTGGTGCTCTATGGACAGCTTGAATCTTATCTGGTGTATCTGGGTATACAGAGGCCTTTATCTGACTAAATTGGATTCCAGTATACCGTGGAATACTACTCTCATCAAGCCTGCTTTTCAGTTCTGTTCAATTCAGCTGTATCTGTTTATTATAGAGGTCTTTACATCTAATAGACCCTCTTATTGTATGCTGTTTCTAAAATGTTAGCATTAAAGATAATGTTAATTTAGCTCTCATTGTATTTAGAATAAAATGGACACTTTTCATTTATGAAAGTACCAGTCTTACAAGGAAATTTATTTGCCACTGTACCCATTAATTTTGGCAGTATGGTTGTTTTTTTTTGTCCTTATTAGAATTACTGTAAGGCAGGGATTGGTCATCCTAGGAGTTGGGTCAGGTTTCACAGATCACTCTTAAAATCAGCAATTTCTAAACACTCTGAACAATTTCAGTTTGAGCATTAAAGCTTTTAATTTGATCATTGAATTGAAAGATCATAAGGAATGAAAATGCAAGCAGCTTGTAGTTCTAAGGTACTGCATTTGGCTTGGTTGACTTAATTTAACCTAAGAACCAACTAAAGTATTAAATGTGTTGTGTTCCAGTCTTTCCAAATTGCCCATTTAATGGTAACTTATAAGAACTTCTAGATTCAAGCAGGCAACCCATCCTGATACTGTAGTTATGCCTTTGAAAGGAATTGTTATTATTTACAGTATATGCCTAGCAGGAACTCTTCTGGGGATGAATACCTAATATACAATATTAGCTAAAGAAATCACAACAAAGTCATTCAAAAACAGTTAAAAATATGAAATGTGAAAAACCTAAACTGTGAGTTTGGTACAGAAGTACAATGCCTTTTCAGATTAGATTAGCATGAATGAGTATGAACTATAACATATGTCTTTTAAGTTAATACATTATATATATATCCCATTTTTAACATTTCTTTCAGCAAGAACATTTCATTGTGTCCATTTTTATTTACCTATATTATTTTACCAAACTAAAAACAAAATCTGCAAATGTTACAATGAATCATCAAAATGAAGAATAAAACGAAGCAGTCTATATGTAGTACTACAAGAAACCTGAACTTGATGTTTAGTCTGTTATCGCAGTGGGAGAGATGATCAGTGGGGCAGAGTTTTTGCCATCATCATTGGTGTTGGGATTGAAGTATGGATACAGTTTCTCAGTGAAGGTGTCATTGAAAGTGTAAATGTGATTCCTGGTCTCCACATTGTAAAAGGAGACCTGTCCCTCCTCATAATTCAAGTATATCCCCACTTTCTTGAGTTTTGTACTCAGTGATAGGAGAACAGAGGTGTCTTCAAGTGCCTTATATTGATTATTCCTGAACCACATAGTCCAGTAGCCATTCTCAGGACCGAGGTCAATATCCCCCTTCCTGTTGATGGACTCTCTCGCAATTCCTAAAGTCCATTTAGTCTTCTCCCCCACCTCCACCTCCCAGTAGTGTCTCCCAGAGGAGAATCCCTCCCTGCCCAGCACAGAAACAACAGGATCAAATCTCTGTGGAGAATCAGGTAGAGTCTGTCTTTGATCACCCAGCCTCACTTGTTTCCCATCTGCGGACAGGATGAGACTGGGATGCGCTGAATTGGGATCCAGTGTCACATCAACTGTTTAGGAAAGAAACAACAATGACTAAACAGGAACTGAATATACTTGACTTAAATGTTTTCTACTTACTAGTTTTCTATTTTTTATCCGTATATGTGTATTTTTTCTTTTTTTCACCACTACCACTAAATGTTTACTTTCATCGCCGAATTAATTAATCGCTTATCTTTGCAATCGATCTACAACCACTCATCTAAATTTCAACTGCTGACAGCCCACCTGCTGTGCTTCTGCTTCAACTTGATCTTTAAACCTGGCTGCAATCCCTTGATCCAGGATTTTTCCAGTGTCGTACCAAATTCAGTATGCTGTGGAAATCTGTATCCCATTTCAAAGTGTGCAAGTGCACTGGAAATCAGAGGTATGATTTGTCTGACTGCTCGTGCACACATTTCATATTGTCTGTAGGAAATGCGCGATTCTGAATTTCAGGTTTACATAAGTATTACAATTATTTGCATGTGCCGAACAAAAACAAAACACTCACACAAGCATTGTTTGCGCGTAGTAAAAGCGCAATTCTGAATTTCGGGTTTACTTAAGTATTACAGTTATGAGAATCTTCCTATGAATTTTGTCTTGTTTCGCATTACACAAACTAACTCTTTGCCTGAAATATTTTATCAGTAGGCAGAAAAATTCACCTTAGCCATGTTATCTGCACACAATAGTATCCCCTTACATACTGTACGTCTGTCTCCCCAGAAGCCATACTCACTCGTGTGATACCCCAGGGATACCCTTCTCCACAGTGTGAGAGTGTGGAATGTGGTATCCCCTGCAAATTTCGTGGCTGCTGCCCCCCAAAAAAACGCAGCTCACACAGCCAGCAGACCTCTGCTTCCCACACCCTCACAGCACCTCTGGGCCAGATCGGGCCAGCTGGTCCCGAGACACAGGGATACCGTTCTCTGTAGTGTGCGCATGTGGAATCTGATATCCCCTGCAAATTTCACCATCTTCAGTACTATTGAAACGTATTGTTACAGCTTTAGGTGACTTAGAAGTGTCTTTTAGATTTTAGATCAAGTTTGTGACGCTGGGAAGAGTCAACACTTCTAACTTCTAACTTCAAAGCAGAGAGGATGTTTATGAAGTCATGGTAGTAAGGTTTATCTTAGTAAGATAAGATCACTCACACGATTCATGTGCCTCTACTTATACCAGCCGCTTAAGAATTTAGTTAGAAATCCCGTACAAGTTGGGGGTTATGAATAATTATTTCACTTATTGACTAAACCGCTTGGTCAATTCCTGATTTTCACCAGTTTTGTAACCCCCCATTAAGATAAATAGATTTTTTATTAATCCCGTGAGGGAAATTGCAGTGCAACAGTAGCCAGGCACAGTCAACACAGTACAGTATAACGTAATAATACAATAATACAACAATACAATACAGTAAGCACAGCCAGTGAGAAGTGCAATAAAAATGGAGTATAGAGAATTGCTCACAGTACAGAATATACAAAAACAAACCAGAACTTACAGTACTCAAGAACATGTATTGCACAGTATAACTATATTGCACATTATCTACAAGCATATATTGCACACCAGTTGTAAACAGAAAACCAGCTGTGAACAGAATTCATGTTTAGTCCCAAAACAGGTCAATGTTGCCCCTGCCCAGACACACAGTGGATGAGTTGTAAAGTCTTATGGCAGAAGGCAAGAATGACCTCCTGTAACGCTCCCTGTCGCACCGTGGTTGGATCACTCTATTGCTGAACGTGCTCTTCATTCTCACAAGCATGTCATAGAGGGGATGGGAGACGTTGTCCATGATGGGCATTAATTTGGACACCATTCTCCTCTCAGCCACTACCTCCAGGGGGTCCAGGCCAGACCCAATGACAGAACTTGCTGTTTTGATGAGCTTGTTCAGCCTGTTAGCATCCCCAATTGTAATATATTTGTATATATTTGCAAAATATATTTGCATTCGTAACAATATATAATGATTAATTTACTAGAAATTTGCCATTTTGTACGGTCAATTTAGATAAAGTTGGGGGTTTTGATAAAAGTGTGAGTTGGGAGGCAGCAGCCACGGAATTTGCAGGGGATACCAGATTCCACACATGCACACTACGGAGAAGGGTATCCCTGTGTGTCTTGGGACCCGCTGTCCCAATCCGGTCCAGAGGTGCCGTGAGGGTGTGGGAAGCAGAGGCCTGCTGGCTGTGTGAGTTGCGTTTTTTTGGGAGGCAGGAGCCACACAATTTGCAGGGGATACCACATTCCACACTCGAGTGTGTATCCTGTGGGAGACAGACATATGGAAGGGGATACTATTGTGTGCAGACAACATGGCGTAATTGCTGATGTAACACCTAATTTCTCATAATTGTAATACTTAAGTAAACCTGAAATTCAGAATTGCGTGTTATACTTCCGATTTCCAGTGCACATGCGCACTTTGAAAGGGGATACAGATTTCCACGGTATACCGAATTCTATATGACACAAGCAGTAGACGGAAGTAATTTTTTCCAGGAAGTCATTCCATTTAGGATGCAGTAATTGCGACGAGGTGTAACTTACAAGCATTCTGGTAAAACACGAGAGACCAGTGTCGTTCCGAATTCGGTATACCGTGGAAATCTGTATCCCCTTTCAAAGTGGGCGGTGTTAGGGTGCCTGTTTTTCGGTACCTCTGCATTGTACTCCTTCTTTGGAGTGCCTCATTTTAAATATCTCACTCTACGATCTTAAAGTTTACATAGCCCCAAGCTTAACGATGCATTTTTAGGTAACTTTGAGGATTTCCTTTCACCGTTATGCTTCAGAATTAATTCCCAAATAATGACTTCATTAAAAATTTCCTTCTTCACTCTGAAGGCTTCTGTAGAGAGTTCGGTGTAATTTAGTTGTGGTGGTGACGGGAAACTATCAAAGCAAAGAAAGATAACAGGAAAACAGTACCTGAGGCTTCAAGAATCCAGTTCCACACTAGGAAAAAAAGAGTTTAGTTATTTGTCTTCTGTGAAGTCAGATAAAACAATCCACAATGCTGTATTCCTAAAACATTTTCTGGCATGCAAGGTTTATGTTTTTGTTATCGGAAAAACAAACTTTCTATTTCTTTAAAGGTTTGCAGTGGTTCCAAAGTCTAGAAACTTGAAATATAAGGAAATGGCCTACAGGTTTAATACTTTGCTAAGGTTGCTGGAAAAAGAAATATAGTTTAATGACAAATGTTCAAAGTCATGCAACTATAAAAAAGAACAGCAAACGAGAGTTTAGCCCTTGACTTCTAAATTCCACATTCTTGAAATGTGTATTTTTAATACATTTTTCTAGTCAAATCCGTCTTCTATAAGTGATATTATCTTTGCAGTTATTT